TATATATATATATATATATATATATATATATAAATATATCAGTTAAAATAGAACAAGTAATAACAAGTTGACTTACTCCGAGTAGACTGTGATAAATTAACTGGTCCCAGTAAATACTTGTAAATATTTTATTATTGGATTTAGTTTAGTTATATATGTATAAGAATGTTCTAGAAATATTTTATAAACTTTTATTATTGTTATTATTGTAATAATTAACGAATTTAATGAACCAATGACACCTTTCTAAGACCTTGGGAATTTCCGTAATAGTATTAGAGAATGTGAATTAGCTAATAATTATATGCTATATATTATTTGATTTTGATGAAAGAGATTCGCCGCTTGCTCATCCTTGAGGTCCTTGTCCGTTTCAAGGTAGACTAGGTTATTTAGCAAAAATATAATATACAATATATATTTTATCTTTGTAAAGTAGCTTTACGACTCTATCTTTTTTATTTTATTTAAAATTGTTCCGTACTTTTAGGTCACTTTCTTTTACATGATTTTTTTTTTTTTTTATCAAAAAACAAATAAGAGCATCTAAACATTTGTAAACTAAATGATAAAATTGATAATTATGATTCATTTAATCATTTAATAATAAAAGTTTAGACATTAAGTAAAGTTGATGCAATAATGTATGAGGATGGAATCCCAATGTAATAATGTCTGATGGAGTATTATTGTTGCATAATATTTAGTTATTGAGTTTTTAAAAGTAGCAAATAGCACAGCCTAGAAGTAATAAATGTACCTAGTCCGTTTACATTTACAAATATAAAAATAAACCTCTATTAAGACACCTTACCATATGTTGTTAACTTTATTATTATTATTATTATTATTAAAAAAAAATATATATATAGGTACACACAGTCTAAAGATTTAAATATAGAATATTGATTATTAGACTTCTGGTCGGATAACAATGGACTGAATCGTTGACCTCAATCGATACATACCAATACTAATTAAATAAAGTCGATACTCTTTTTCCACAATTAACTTGAAAAAAAATAACAAAGAAGATGATGATGATAATAATAATAATAATAATAAGTGGATTTAAAAAAGTTAGACTGGATTAATATACATACTTTACTTATTGAATTTACGGTTCATCAGACGGTCGTCGGTATGATAATATGATAATATGATAATATGATAATATGATAATCTGGTTTCGACCTATTACTATCTCAGTCAAGTGCCGATGACACCAGCAGCACAGTACATGATATCACAATTATTAAATTACAGCTGGCTCTATATTCTTAAATTCAAACGCATCTTCTTTATTATTCCCTTTACTTGACTTTTATTTTTAAATAATAACAATGATGGGTAACTCTGGATAACTATCCCTCGGCAGTCTTTACGTCGCCACACGCATTCGTACCTTGCGTACCTTACCTTATCATAAAATAATCAATACATCTATCCGACGATAAAAAATATTCACCTTTATATTATACTAAACTAAAATTTTCTCTCTCGTCCAGTTAATTATTTTATTTATACTAATAAAATCTATTACTAGATATTATGTATTATGTAACGTAGCTTGCTATTTTATATTTATCAATTAAAATAACCTTCCAAGGACACTTTCGACGATCTTGAATCAATTTTCACTTGTTGTGACACTTAATATCGAAGAATCGAGAAATTGAGGACACATCATCATTATTATAATATAAATATTAATTAATTCAATCGTTTATAATTATTATTTATTGTGAGATTCATTTTCATTTGTCAAAATATTTTTTTTTAAATAAAAAGTCAAAAAGTGGAAAAAAATTAATTATGTGGGAAAAAGTGAAAGGCGTATCAGAACATTTAGTAGGCTGAATTAATTAAAAATTAAATATTTTTATTGTGTCTGTGTGTTTTTAAATTTTATCTTTATCCAGATATCATTATGTGTTTTCTTTAGAAATGATTTATTTTTAAAAATTTTAAAAAATTATGAATTTTAAAAAAAAAAAAAAGCGATAAAAATAAAAAAAACAAATTTTTCATCATAATTTAATAATAATAATTATTAATTTACTTATAAATATTCAAGCAGAGTATGAACTTTAACTCCTTTTAATTGAACATTGTATTATAAACATGATGATGACAATTGAAAGTATATAATTAATATAAATAACGTAAGAGTAATAACTGCGTACCTAACCGGTCAAAGTTCTCACGCTCGCGGAAGAGATCACGTATTTTATTTTATTCAATTCTTTATTCTTAAAAGTACAAACTCCTCGAGGTCATTCCTCCCCTCTTTATGCTTAATTTATAATAACTTTACTGTTGTCACTGTTGAACTTTAAACTATCATAACTTATCAACAACTTTTTTTTTTTTTTTTTTTTTTAATTATTGAAATTTAACCGCAATTCATTAACAAACGATGATTTAGATTTAGATTTAGATTACAGGACATGATAAATTATTTAATAAAAAATTAATTTTTCATTTTTTAATTAATCTCTCGTTGATAAAATTATTTTATATTAAAAATTTAAATCGATAATAGATTTTTTATATTTTTTTTTTTTATTTTCAATATGACTAACAATGATAATGATTTTATTCGTAAGAATTATTTAGTCATTGGAAATAAAACCCACGGAAGTATTTTGTTTAATATCATGATGACTGATGACATTTTAATGGGTACATGCTATATGTATATTCGAGGTCGTGTTACTTTTTTTTTTTCAAAGGCAACCAGGATCTTTCATTTTTTAAAAATTAAACCAACACAAGAGTTTTTATAATAAAAGTATTTTATAAATTTATAATATATTGATAATGATACACGTCCTTGAACATTACACATTAAATATTAGTATATTAGTAAAATTATAAAATAGTTAACATTAAAAGTATTATTATATTTTTTAATCTGGCAAAACGCCAATTTAAAAATAATGGGTTTTTTTTTATTTATTATTACTCATCGAAAGCTATATCACTATTTTTAACTATAATAAGGATAAATAAAACGTAAATCACGTGAAATGGAATTTTAAAGATATATATATATATATATATATAACAAACATTTGTTTAAAATGTATGTTTAAAGTTTAAAATAATTAATTTTTTTTTTTGTTTTTAAATTGCAGAACGCAAATGCGGAGAATAACCTGGAACGATGAAGCAGAATTCAGCAATGCGAGTATCCTAAATAGCATGGAGAAATTTGTAAAAGCAGTTAATGAAATGGATGAAACAATATTGGTGCCATCGAGATTGCTGGATCTAGCGGTGGGTGATGCTGGCGATACGGTATGTCAAAAGGGAAAAAGCACTATAAAGGACACAATGCCCAATACCGATCTATATCGTCTTTACAATATTGTAAACACACTTAAAGTTGAGCTGCTGTGGTCACAAAAGTCCAGTATTGAGGCTCAGGACGAAGAGACTGAAGAAGAAGAGACAAATCGTCGACAACTAATTAAATCTGGAGTTACTAATGGAGTTTCTTCACCTCCAGTATCACCACCAACACCATCGACAATTACTGGATCTGGATCTGAAAAATCTGTTGAAGGTGCTGCTGTTAGATTGGGTCACACCCGTTGTCCAAGTACCACCTCAATGCAGAGCGCATCTTCTGTTATTTCAAGTTTGAGCTCTAGCGATTCTGATTCTGATATGGGAGTTGAAAATGATTCGGGATTGGAGAGTGAAGATCAGCCAGACAGATTGGCTAATCAAGCTGCTGAAAACTTTCGACGTCATTTACGTGGTCTCCATCGCAGTATCAAGCGTATGACCCAAGCTGCTGAATATCTCGCACTTAGATATCAAGCTGATGTTGGTGGGCCCGTTTAATTTTATTTCACCCAAAATTTATTTAAAAATACATTAGATAATAACAACAAAAACAAAATCATCTGTCAATAATACTTATTCGATTTCTTAGTAAATTCTTTTTCCCCTATAATCATTCCTCCTTTAATAAAGTAACAATCATTATTAAATATTCCAACTTTATATAAGTTTATAATTTATTGTATGATAATTATAACAACAATTATTACATGTCAGTAATAGATTAAATAAAATTCATTTTATATTTAACAGGAGGTTTGTTGTAGTTATTTATTAGTAAATAATTATCTCATGTGCTAATAATTTAAAAAGGATAATATCTGAAGAAATAGAAATAATAAGTTTATTATTGTCTTGAAAAATATAAAAGATTTTTTTTTTTTTTTTTTTTTTTCAAAGCCGGGTGTTAAATGTTTAACATAATTCCTCATTATATTAATTAATAAATTAACAGAGAGTATTACTATCAAAATTAATCCTGTTGTATATTTTTATTAAGATTATAATATACATATTTAATTAATCTAATATTATTGTGAATCTCTCGTTGAGCTTGCTACTTTTATTATTACTATTATTATATGGTCATTTTTTTTATTTTTCATTTTATTTAATACAACGGATAATTATTTGGTTTTTTAAATTATTTATAAAATAAACTAGAGCAAATTAAATAGAGTAAAAAATAAAATTAAATAATTAAAAAAGAAAATAAATGTATCGTTATACTTGACTGATAAATTGTATACTAAGACTTGCTCTTGATAAAATATTTAATAAAAAAAAAAAAAAATCGAATAAATAATTATAAAACAAAATAATGAAAAATAAAAATTTAATAATACGGGTGTCGATAATGTATATATAGAGTTGAATTCCCTTATTATTTATTTTTTATTACGCAAATATTACTAATCAAATACGAAAAATATATTTATAGTTGTAAAGCGGATTTCAAAAATTAATCCGCTAAATGAAATCCGATAAAATTTAATTTTTAAAAAAAAATTTATCAAGAAAAATAAAAATTTCATTAATTTAATTACTCATAAGATAAATTAATAATTATTATTATTTGATTTGTAACTTACTGCATTTTGTATTTGGCATAAAAAAAAAAAAAAAAAAAAAAAAAAAAAAAAATAATAATAATAATAATAATAGAGCTTATAAAATTATATTTTTATTATCCAACAATTCCTTAACATCTTTCACCTTTAAATAATTAAAATTTTATTTCTTCTTCAATGTCAAGAATTTAACTAAAAAAAAGTTAATTGAATGACTTGGTATTTCTGTAATTTTTTTTTTTTTTTTTTTATAAAAAATTCTAATCGTCTTAAACTTTTATAAATTTGTCATGGTTATGATTGATACTCGTCTATATTATATATAAATATAAATATATATGAGTTTGATTATTAAGAATGCATCAGCATTTTCGCAATATTTGTTCATTCTCGTTGCGACATACTTTTCATTTAAATGAAAAATTCTTTTCAATACTTATCAAATAATCAATAATATTAATATAATTTTTTTTTTTTTTTATTCACTGACGATAAAATCACAGACTTTGGTTGTTATATGCTAGAATAATATATCAATTATCAAACTGTCAAACTTGTTATAAAAAAATTTATTTAAAATTATTTTAAAAGTTAGATTATTGTTATGTTATCATATGATGAACACAGCTAAACTAAAAAAATTTATTCCTAATTAAAGGTGTATACGATATAAACGTATTAATTACGCGTATCATTAAAAGAGTTATATTACAACAAATTTTATTCATATTTACATACATGTGAGAGTTTTATTCACAAAATCATTTAAAAATGGCACGAATTAATTATAAGCCAATGTCTCTACTATTGAATTTATTGTTTAAATTAAAAGAAAAAAAAAAATCTATCTATATATTATTATGAAAAAATTTTCTCAAATTTTCGGTTTATTATATGAGCCACATAAATACATACATTCGGTAATATACTGCAAACAGTGAAAGCGCAATTACAAATTACTAGAAACTGTTAATTAAGAGCTGCGTTAAATCTGTTTGTAGTATATTTTATTATAATATTCCCTTTAAGATTTATTTTTAAAAATGCAGTCGTAAGAATGATGAGTGTTTTTTTTTTTTTTTTTTTTTTTTTTTTTAAATCAAGAATTATTAGCTAAGATTTGTTGTAGCAACAACATCTCTCAAATTTTCATAATCTGGATCGCGGCTAAAAAATTCAAAAAGTTCACCAAAAGTTGGTCTTTTTTCGGGTAAATACGACCAGCAACTGAGAATAACACTGTAAATTTCATCGGGGCAATCATCTGGCTTAGGAAGCCGTTCTCCATCTTCGACCAACTTGATTACCTATTGAAAAAAAAAAATTGAAAAAAAATAATATTTTTTTAAATAGAATTTGAAATAAAAATGTAGTTACATCTACACCACGTTGATCACCATAGGGCTGCTCTCCGTAAGTAAACATTTCCCAAAGTGTAATACCAAAACTCCAGACATCACTGGCATGAGAGAAGGTACCGTAATTATAAGACTCAGGTGCATACCACTTTATTGGCCATTTACCACCTTGAGTTGCTCTGTAATAATCGTTAGAGCCAAAAGTTCTAGATAAACCAAAGTCACTAATCTTAGCTTGGTGCTTTGAAGCCAGAAGAATATTTCTAGCAGCTAAATCCCGGTGTACTAGCCTCAAATCCTCGAGATATTTCATACCACAGGCAATCTGCGATGCCCAAATTTTAAGTTCACAATTTGAACTTATTCGATCTGGAAATTCCAATAAATACGCCAACATTGATCCCAATCTTACTAACTCTTGAACCTTAATTAAATAATCATTATTATTATTATTATTATTAATAATAATAATATTAACAAGCTAATAATTAATATAAATTATAATACCATCAACATTGGTGGTCCCTCAGAAAATCCTATTAATTTAACAATACAATGATGATTTAAATTCATCATAAGTCGTGCCTCACGAAGAAATTCTTCTCTGGTAACATTATTATGCGAATCCCGCAACGTTTTTATAGCCACTGATTCAGTCTTGCCAGATAAAGTCTGATATTCTCCTTCGTAAACTTCTCCGAATTCACCTTCACCGAGAACCTGCCGTAGAATTAAATTTTCACCGGGAATAAAATCTTGGAAAAAAAAAAAAAATGAAAATAAAATATAGATAAATAAATAAATAAATAAATTTTAAAAGTATATATAATTACCATGAATATAAGAGGCAGTGGAATTAAGGTTTGAATTTAAATTAGTTGTATCTACTGAAGAATGTTGAGGAATATTCTCGGTAGTAGCTGGTTTAATGTCCATTTGAAAAGATAAATTTTGAAAGTACGATTCAAGTTGTGATGTAGGTGTTGCTGGTGTTGCTGGTATTACGGGCAAACTTCGTGGACCAGAACCCTTTCTTTTTGTCAAAGTATTCTGAAATGTCATTAAATATTTTTTATTTCAATCAATATTTTAAGGTTTTAATAAAATAATTAAAGGAAATTACTGGATTAAAAAAAATAGAAGGCGGCATTTCGGGAATCGGAGGTCTCGGTTTTGGAGGAATAGGATAAACAAGCGGGCCACGTAATCCATCGGGCATACATCTATAATGCTCTACAACGTGCTCCAGTGAATCAAGATACGGGCCATCATCAATAAATAAATATTTACCCTGTAATAATTAAAAATATTTAAATATATTATTTATTTTTATAATAATTATATAATATATAATTTTTTTTAAATTGTACCTTTTTTTGTATTTGATAATGAAATACTTGATTGTGGTACATTACGGTAAGAACATAAGTTCCGACAGAACGATCACTAAATCTTACAAGAAATGCTCCATCTTTATTACCATTTTCATAAAGCAAACTTACAGCTTCAGGACGGCTCAATGTCCCATGATACCAGTCAGATTTTTTTTCTCTTGCTGCTGGTGTATCGTAATTACCTTAATAATTTAATAAAATTTATCAGTAACAAATAAAATATATATATATATACTATTTTAACATACTTACATAATAATTCAACACATTTATAATGACCATTGCGTCTGGCAAGATCCGCTGGAGTATCATCAGCAACAGTACGAGGATGTACAGGAACATTCATTGACAACATTGCTAAAATAACTTCAATGTGTCCAGCTTTTGCTGCCTCATGTAACGGTACCATTCCTTAAAAATTTATTCATTTTTCATTTTTAATAATACTTAATTAAAAACACCAAAGTATCTATATTACTATATTACCAGTTGATGTGTTTCTTGCTTGAACATTAGCGCCTCCTTGTATAAGTAATCTCACGGTGTTTGGTAAATTACTTTGACAAGCATACTAAATTTTAAATAAACCATTAATATTAATTAATTAATTAATTAGTTAAAAAAATTAATAAATAAAACGTACTTGATATCCTTACAATTTTAGCAGCTCATAAATATATAATTATTAAACAATAAGTGCAATGATTTATAAAGATGATAATAATAATAATAATAAGAATAATATTACTTACATGTAATGGAGTATAACCAGCAGAATCACGACAATTAACACTGGCTTTACTTTCAATTAGCTTTTTCAATATATCATCAATCCCATCTTTAGCTGCCAAATGAACAGCCGTTTGACCTAATTCATTTTTTGCATCCAAACTCCGATATCCACATTTTAATAATTCTGAAACAATAGTGTAGTTTCCTTCACCAGTAGCACGGTGGAGTAAATTAGTTCTCCCGTGTCTACGAGTATCAGGAGGTGGTGGTTCACCTTTGTAACCTTTTGTCAAGCTAACATTTAAACCAGAGCCTTCTTTTTTATTTTTATAATGCTCAATAAGTGTCTCTAATCCATGTAATGGTGGTTCAGTGTCTTCTGTAAATGAGAATAAAAAAATTAAAATAAATAAAACATATAATTATAATTTATAATAAATAAATTATTACCTATACAAAAAAATGCATCCTCTTTGTGTTTACGAATTTGATAGTGATGAACCTGTTGATTCCAAAGCACTGACAAGACGTAATCGCCAATTGATGTGCTACTTTCTCTTACCAAGAATGTACCATTTTCATTTAACTCTAAAATAATATAAACAAACAGTTATTAATAAAAAAAAAAAAATAATAATAATAATAATAATAATAATAATAACAACAACAGTAAAATGACATTACCATTTTTGAGAAGTCCTTCTGCGTCATCGCGAGACAATTTTCCATGGAACCAACACAAATCAACCTCAGGATTCATTTTCAAAATAAAAACAAATATTTTATTGTACTTATTTTTGTTTAAATAATTATCTGATTACCATGTCTTGACATAATTAATAATAGTTAATACATACATATATACTTATATTAACAACAATTAATACAACAACTGTTGAGAAAACTTATAATAGACAGCTCTATAAGTTATCTATTCTATATAATAAATATATAATTGAAAACAACAATGGAGGATAGAGGACTGATGGTATAGTATATACTTGCGCTTACTCACACAGACTCATATGCTGTCGTCACGCATACAAATATCATCTTTTGTATAATCACATAAATCACATAAATCGTGATAACACTTTGAGCGGGAATTTTTAAAATAATTTCTAACAAAATTTGACAATTTTTTTATCTAAATATTTCATTATTAACTATCAATATTTATTTATTTATTTTTCCGATACTATTTAATTTTATTATTTTCATAAATAAATACTATTGCGTACAACTAAAGTATAAATTATAAAAATAAATGTATTTTATTATAATATATTATATATTTATATCAATTATCTGAGAATTGATCATTATTTTTTTTTTTTATTACATAAAAAATATAAAAGTTTAACGGTAAATATTGATATGTTCCATGTAGAAAATACATGTGTAACTTTCTAAATACTGGTGTATTTAAAAATCCATAAACTACAGTGAGTAAATACAGTTAATTTGAATTAGATCGTAATTAAAGATAATGAATGTTGAAATGTTAAATACTATGAATTAAAAAGAGTAAACTTTGCGAGTACCAACATCAAGATATACAAAATTCAGTTAAAGTTGTCACGCATGTAATATCCACTTATTCTACATCTACTACTTACATATATATAATAAAAAAAAAAAAAATAAAATAAAAAAAAACACAATAATAATAATAATAATATACTCGGTATGTACATATATGTGTAAATAAGAATCTATATATACAGTGCAATACCTAACTATTATTATAAATGTATGTGTGTATATGAATATGCTTTAATAGAGTTGTGTAGAATTAGTATAGAGGAGAAAAAGAGAAAAATAATAAAAAACATAGATAAAAAGAGATGAAGATAGCCCCCACTAGGGGTTCAATTGTAATAGTATTGGTGACAGTTGGTGTTGCTGGTTGTAGCTGCTGCTGCCTGCTACCTCCAGAGTTCCAGACGTTCCAGACCTTCCAGACCTAGACTCTCAGTCGCTCCTGCTTCAGTCGATTAGTGTAGTAGTATCAAAATGGATGCTTTTAAACTTACGGTGATATGATCATCATCGTCTTCTGCTTCATATTCTTCTTTTTCCACTTTCCAATGATTTAATTAAAAAGTTAAAATGACCAAAGAAATAATAATTATTAAAAAATCAGTATATCAGTGAAATTAAAGAAGAAGAAGAAGAAGAAGAAGAAAAAAAAAAGTGTGTTGTTATTGAATATAAATAAGTGGATAATTATAAGTAAATAATTGTTAGTGAACAATACAATGTGTATCAGTTATGAAAAGAACATCAGCAATCAGTGAATTGTTAAATCTTATCAACTACAATGGTGGATAACAATTGTATTATCGAAGGAAATGTCAAATTTCGTGA